TTAATCACCAATCTTTTTCTTGGCCGAGTTTATGAAATATGACTTATCCCAACCATTCACTCTTAAGTTGTTACAATATCCAGCTGCAAACGTCCTCTGTGTGTGCTCTGGCAGCCTTCCCCGTGGCTCACAAAGTGACACGCAATTCTGTTAGGTCAAATGACCAAAGACTGAAAAAGCTTGCATCTGAAGGAATATTTCCTACAAGTCCCAGGCCCCATATTTTCACTCTGGAGATATGCTGCTGGCACTGGTTCTTCCTGCGAATGCATTGCACAGTGAAAAGTCCTGCTGTAGCTGAAGAGCCCTGGGGTGTTGCAGCCCTGGGCAAGGGGTGACACCCCGAGGAGGCCAGGGCACAGGCAGAGTAGGAGCTGACACACCACACAGAGCACAGGTCCTCTGCCTTCCATGAAAAACACTGTCTGCCACCATCCCAACCAACCACACAGGTAGGTACCAGGATGGGGAGGCCGAAGGTGGCATCACACTGCATGGGCACAGCAGTTCTGACCCAGTGGTAACAAGTGAAAAAAATCTCTTTTTCTTTCCAAAAAATGTCCTTGTTATAATTTCTTTCTCCTGGCGGCACCCTCCTGTGCACAAGAGCTTGGCCATGACATGGTGTAAGAGCAGGAAACTTCAATGCCCAGAGTTGCAAGAGCAGAAATGAGAGATAATTGCACTTCTTACAGCAGCACCAGCTTATCTTGGGGAAACTTTCCCTGCTAATGAGGCCATTCTGTTCATTCAGCAAGAGTTGAGAGGGCTGGTGCTGCTGCCAGCCCATCATGGGTGCAGGCAGAGGGCAGGTAGGGGTGGGAAAAGCAGCCCAGGAAACCATCCCCATGGTCCCAACCTCATCGCTTTGCAGCTTACTGGAACTCAGTTTTCCTCACCTGGCTTTAATTTATTTATCTTCAAAAACAACAACAACAAAAAAATAACATCCCACTATATCAGCTATTGCCTACTCTGCCTCCTCTTGCCTTTGGCTACATGCTGGTTTCAAGGCATCTCCTGGTAGAGCTGCACCTGCCATCCAGTCCTAGGCCTCTGCAAAGGATTTTCTTTCTGCATCGGTGCCCACACCCGTACAGGTCCTGGGGAGCTGTGGCTGGCACTGCCAGGGGCAGCTGGGGACAAGCCTCTGTGTTGATGAGTGCCAGCTGCTGAGCCTGGGCTGCGGCAGCTGGAGGCAGAGGTAGCGATTTGTGTACTCACCTGGAAAGGCAGCCATCCTCTCATCCCTTGCAGAGCTGCTGAGAAACCAGCTCCTGGCTTTTTTCCTAGGAGTGTAACATCACCATACTCCAGCTACTAGGAGCAGATGCAAAATCCCCTCTCCCTTGAGTCCGGAGAACCCCATGGCAGGGGCAGAGGTGAGACAGCTCTGCAGGAGAGCCAGTTTCCAGGAAAAATGCTTGGAAAGTGGCAGTTGCAGCCAGATCAGATTGCATCTCTTGTTTTGAAGGGAACCATGGGACAGTGCCTGCAGTGTGGCTCTGCTTTGGCACATCCCAGGCTGAGCTGCCAGCACCAGCCTTGCTCCTCGTTGGCATGCCAGGCACATGCATCCAGTGGCATGGGGCTGTTCTTCCTGCAATCTGTGTACCCAAGCAGCAGCACCAGGAAGGCTTGGAGAAGTACAGCAAGAGTGGAGAAAAGGAGGGAAGGGAAATAAAATCACAGCTGAGCACAGCACCACAGCTTAGGCTGCAAAGCCAAGGTTGGCAGTGTTGCTCCAGCTGCCTGCACGACCCTGACAAGCTTCAGGGAGGAAGAGGAAAGCCTCCAGTGGCAGCTGTGTGTGCTAACAGGGACAGGGGAAGTCAGGCAGGGGACAGAGGGGTGGGTGCCATTTGGGATGTGCCACCCCAGCAACAGAGAACACCAGATGGATCAGGTTGCTTTTACCTCTGTCTCAGCCCCAGAAAGGCAACTCACAACCCACACCTTCTTCAGACAGCATTTTGTGGGTCTTGGGTTTGTTCCCATGGGAGCACATGTGTAGGAAGAGGTGAACACCTCATGTCACTCCTCTGGGACCCAGCACGGGGCAGCAGGAGCAGGAGTAGGCTCTGCCTGTGCTCCCCAGAGGGAAGGGCAGCCAGCCTTGTTCTGCCAGGCAGAAGACACTACCAACACAAAGGCAGGCCCCCGAGATCACAGCGTGTGTATCTTGAGAGCTCAGAATAAATATTTAAAGGTGGAGGGGGAAAAAACCTGCTTGTGTCAGTGAGCAAGTTCTTTGTCTTTGCTCTGGGATTTGAGACAGAGACAGAAGAATGACAAAGGAGACACAGGTTTCATCAAATCATGGGCACATCAGAAGCGATGGCTTTCAGATGCCGGCTTTGCTGCAAGACAAATTCTCTCCTAGCCAGATGCCTGACAACCCTGACAGCCCTCGAGGACTGCAGGTCTGTGTTCCCTCAGACACATGGGGTTGCAGTGAGCCCACGTTCTTACACCTCTCCACTCCAGCCAGGGATGAGAGACAGGCTGTTCCCTAAATCCCTTTCCAAGCCAGTAAGAGCTGGTCCTGACCTGTGGGAACATGTGACTCCTCCTTGCCCTGTCCTGTGAGGATGTACAAGGTGATGGGCTCTGCATCACAGTGCTGGACAAATGTTCCCAAATCCCTGTCCCCACAGCAGAGCTCTGCCAGAGGAACAAACCGTGGCTCAGCTTTCTCAATGCCTCACATGAGCGATGGCTGGGGGGAAGGATGGGAGGTGACAGCTCTGCTCAGCTCCCAACAGCCCTGTGCTGGGCCATCGCTCAGAGGCAGTGGCCAGAGCAGCCACAGAGAACGGGATGTTCTGTATCACAAGGCTGTCCTTAGGATGCTTTTATTTCCAGAGAGAGCTCATTAGTTCTGGTTGTGCAGGAGTTCAGGGTTTTTTTCTCCCTGTTACCAAGAGCTGGAAAACTCCACTGAATAACATCTCTGAGCACGGGTGGAACAAAGACAGGGCATGGCAGGGAGAGGAGCAACTAAACCAGAGATAATCAAAGCTATTGCTGCAGACTCACATCACTTACAATCTCCATCTCCTTTGCATTTCCCAGCTGGACTGGTGTCTGCTTGCTCAGCCCCACTCACCACTGTGCCAGGCCTGCAGGGCTTGGCTCTGCTTGGCTCCAAGGGGGAAGAAGATGCAGAGGAGAGTTTGAGATGGCATGAACTGGGCTCAAGGCAGCCCACTGGATCAGATGGGATGCCAGGAGCTAAAGGGACTTGCAAATTCACTAGGCAAGAAGAAAGGCTGTATCTCTGGCACTGCCACAAGAGGGGTTTAATACAGAGACATCCTACCCAGGCACACTCCAGCTGTGATGCCTTGCAGCTGCAGCTGGTTGGAGTAGTCTGGAGCAGCTGCCTCCTTACCAAGCCCTGGTGCTCCTCTCCCATCACCACACAGTTCAGCACACACTGCAGGAGATGCAGCCAAGGAATCACGTACCAACAGCAGGAGATAAGCCACCTTCCCAGATATGATCACAGGCCCCTTTATCTCCTTAACCCTTATGCATTCACTTATCCATCCCAGATCTATTCCTCCTTATCTAAATTCTCCTCCTGTTCATTCCCATCTCTCACCACGGTTGGTCTCAGAGCATCGAGGCCTCTCCAGAAGCATGGAGGCAGCGGGAGGGCCTGATGCCCCAGGCAGCCACTCACCACAGCTAATGGGATGGGCTCTGATTGACTGGCCCCGGTGATTGAAAGTTAATAAACTGTTAAAAGCAGCCCTATAAATCACCCATGCAGGAAGTGACCTGGACAGGAGGCCTAACGAGTTAGCAGAGGTTTTATTTAAAAGCCATTTGTCTGAGAAGTGCAACACAAAGAGTCAAATAACTCTTAGGAAAACAGCAGTGATGGAGCTACTGGGAGGATTAGAGCTGGCTGGATATTTATAGCCTGGGGATGTCAGTCTTCCCAGTGCTAACTGGCTTGTGCTTTCCAGCTGGAGCATCCCAGCTGATCCCAGCTCCAGGTAGGGAGCTCCCAAAGTGAACCAGGACAAGGCACACCACAGCTCTGAGTCATACTTTTAGTTCTCTGAGTTCACTGTGATTTTCTCACAGACCTCTCAAAACAGGAATCTCATGCCCATGTCCATCCTGGGATAAGCTGGTAGCATCCTCATCTTCCTCCAGGCCTCAGCTCCCCTGCCCATGTGTGGGATCACACATGAAGAAGCTGCGTTTCTCATATGCTACTGCCCACAGCTGACATCTCTTGTTTGCATGGAGAAGCTTGACAATAAGAGGCCCCAAAAATCTCAAACTCCAAAACCACCCCAGAAATCATGGGGTTTTTTTGTTTCTAATCCTGATTTCCACTCCTCTTCCATGAATACTGATTTTCTACCCATGGGGAGGGCAGCTGGGCCACATCAGCCTCAGCCCCTCCTCACTCTCCACCTGTACTTTTTTGATTTTGAAAAAAACCCTATTGCCAAGTGCAAGGAGCAGACAAAGGTGTTTCCCTGCGAGAGGGACTTGGCCCCCTCCCAAATGCCCTGCCCCAGCCATTCCTTACTCTCCCATGGCAGGAAACCTTCAACACCCTAAAGGCCTTTTACAGTTGGAAGGAAAGGTGGCTTGTGCTTGGGAGGCCTCCAGAGCATCATTAAGAGGAAAATTATACACAGTTATCCTCAGAGGTACATCAGGGAAGCTGAGGCAGTCACAAGGCACCAGTCCCACCCAAGCCTGGTGCCTTGCAGCAGCAGAGTACTTTCTAAAACTATGAGCACATTCCAATGGGATACAGTCTGCAAGCAACAGGCTTCACCAGCAGCTACCCCGCCTTCAAAGTCACCTTTTAATTGCAAGAGATCTCACCCCCAAGCCAGCATCTTTCATCCCAGCAAGACGAGGGGGAGAGGAGTAGGTAGGAGATGCAAAGACACAGCAACAACCTGATTGCACTTGAATTTTCCAAGTGAAATTGGGTTGCCTTTGCTTTTCAGGGACATCCTTACCTTGGGAGGGATGCAGGAGGCTGGGTGCAGGTGCAGCCAGTTCTCCTGGCCAGCGATGAGCACCTTCCAGGGGAGCAGGGCAGCCTAAGAGTGCCGGGGGGCTGCGGCTGGGAGGCTGCTCCGGCGGCTCATGGCTCCCAGGCACAGGGGGCTGTGGGTGGGAAGGCACAGAAGGTGTCAGTCTGCAAACACACAGCCTCAAGCACACACCAAGAAAACCCAACCCCACAGCAAGGCTGACTTGAAAATTAGGAAGGTAAAGAACTTAATATATTGATATTTTTATGTATTGCTCTTATTTCCCCTGCTTCCCCATCATTAAAGAGAGCAAAGCAGTGGGATGTGCTTAGATCTGGACACTGAGCAGATGTGGATACCTGAAGAGGTCCAGCACCCACTAAGGGGCTGCTGCCAGGCACAGGGTGATTCTTGGGAGCAGTTTTCCAGAGGGTGTTATGTGCTTCCAGCATCACTAGTGGGGAAGGAGAGAAGGCACAAGCTCACCTGGACAAGCAGCCCCTGGCCCGTGCTGATGCACACAGCCGTGAGCATGGAAGGGAATGAACCCCCAGCACAAAAGGCCCAGCCAAAGGGTCTCACAAGACAAGGGGAGCTCTCTCCATTCCTCACTGGTCAAGGGGTTGCACTGGCACCTAGGAAATGCTAAAAGAAAGCAGATCCTTGACCCACTGATCTGTGATCACTACTCCCAAATTCAAAACTGAAAGGGAAGCGAGACTCTCTGCTGATGGAGGTGATACATCCACACATCCTCTAACCAGCTTCACCTTCATATGCAGCACTCTCCTCTCCAGCAAGAGTTTGATTTAATACATTTATTTAGTGGAGAGGTCCCCAAGGCAGAAATCACATTCTCTTTTTGCGTCTCAAACAGTTTTGAGCAGTCAGTGTTTAACAAATTAATAATAATGTGATGGCACTTTGAAAAATAGACTGTCCTGTCCTCAAAAAAGGGGCCATGTTTCCCAATTACTCCAAAGGGCACTGCTTCAGACCTTGCTGAGCAAATGGCATTTAGTTGCAGCCACCTTTTAAAGTCAATGATGTGATCCTGCTACGGCTGCAGTCACAGAACTGTTAGGGTTGAAAGGGACCTCTGGAGGTCACCTAGTCCAAGGCCCCTAATTAAAACAGACCCTTTAAAATTATTCAAGCACTATTACACATCTCCCAGATGACGGTATTAGTGAAAATACAATGAAATATTCCCCACCCGGCCTCAAGGAAGGTGAACAACGCCGGGGCGAGGGTCGGGCACAGCGGAGCGGAGCCCCCCGAGCCCGCAGGCGCCGCTGTCCCCCGCAGTGCCCATTGGTACCCAGGACCAAACTTCGGGCTGTGGGGGCCAAACCCATTCCCGCTGCTTCCCACCCACCCATCCACCGGTGACATCAAAGGCCACCACAGCTCATTCATCCCTGCAGGAACCCTTCCCATACTCACCCACGGAGGAAAAAGCAGCTGTGGGGTGCTCACCCATTCCCCCCATCCCGCAGCACATGCTGACCTGTGGGTGCAGTGTGGCAGTGTCCCTGTGCCCACGGGCTGGCCCTCACACCCACATGCACCATCCAGCGTGGGGCTCAGGCGTATCCCATCTCCACACTACACAGCGTGAGGGCAGGGGACAGGAGGGGTGGAAGCAAGTTTAAAAATACCTCTTAGGTATTTTTTAGCAGTCATCTCCTACCCGAGGTCTGCCATTCTACCCCAAGTTGGCAGCTAAGCTCAGCATCTCTCTGTCATGAAAAGTATTCACGAGGTTTGCGGTGGAGGCTGGCAAATATTTGCCAAGGATTCTTCCAAATCTCCAAGCCCGCCATGAGCTCGCTGCAAATTTGTTTGCTGATCGTGGTCCTTGCACTAATTTGCAAATGGAGAGCAAAGAAAAAGGCAGCTGTACAGTGTAGGGGAAGATGAGCAAGCAGGGTCCTATTCCATGGGGAAGGCAACTCCACCTACCCTAATGAGGGCTCATTAATTAACACCTGCAGCACTGGTGCAACACCCAGCTCCTGATGCTGTTTGTGGCCAGGGAAGTGATCTCTCGGCACAGGCAGCACCAGGGAATGGGAGGATGCTGCTGGGGATGGCAACAGCAGCACCTGCAGGCTGTAAGACCAGTGCTAGCCCCAGTCTGACCTGTGTGGCAAGTTACAAAGAGGTGCTGGGAAGGCATCCTCTCCCCTTCCCTGCTCCCTCCCCAAAGCAGTTCCAATCAGAGTTTCTCCTGTGGCTTCCCCTCTGATTTTGGCACCTCACCAAGTTCCAGCCCAGGCCAAGCACATCGCTAATTAGCTGCACTAATTAATCACAGTTTCCATTGTTTATTCTTTTGTTCTCGCGCAAATGCCCATGCTGCCTTCTTTGTGAGCTGCCATGGCATTCATGGAGCACCAGCACAGCTGGTGGAGCTGACCCTAGGGAATGTGGGTCACTAGCTGCTGGGCTCATCACTAGAGACCAGAACAGAACCCATCCCTGGTCCTGCCGGAACGTGATTTAAAAGCCAAAGCCATCGATTCTGGCCTGAAACAGTACAAGATTCACAACCCCTCTCACTCCGTCAGCCTGGAATTGCTCATGCCAGCACAGCTCAGACCATATTTCTGAAACTTCCAGGAGGCCAGGAGCTGCTGGTGGGTCATTTAGTCCATTCCTCCTTTGGAACTGGGATTTACTATGCCCGAAGCATGCCCAGTCATCAAGCCTGGCCTCCAACATCTCCAGCAAAGCCAATTCTACAGCCTCCCTTGGCTCCCTGAGGCTGCTGCCACCACTGTCAGGGCACAGAGTGGGCTGCAGTTCACTTGCCACCATCCTTGATCCCTCCTGCAGCCATCAGTGCCACAGCCCATTCTTCCTCTCTGCAGCCACGGGGATGGCTGCCTGGCTGTCACTCCATCAGATCCCCCCCGGGAGACACCCCACACTTGCTCCCAGGAGTGAGCAGGGCAGCTGGAGCTGGCACACAGCCCCAGCACAGAGGCAGCCATGCATCCGCCTCTCCCGGCTAATCCCACCGAAATCCTGCCTTTGTGCTCATCGCAGCCACTGCCTGAGCATTAGGCACCCGCCGAGCCTGAGCTAATCTCCAGAAAGCTCCCTCACCCAGGGGGGTTCCCCTTCCCTGGGCAGCCCTGGTGCCCCAGAGGCACGGTGGGGGGACAGGAGGACATGCTGGCTGTGACTCCTTGCCAACACTGGCATGATGTGCTGAGAACGAACCCAACAACGACTCTGTTCACTCCCTCTTTTCAGGGATTTTTTTAACCAGGTATTCTTTGCAAAAAAAAAAAAAAAAAAAAAAAAAAAAAAAAAAAAAAAAAAAAAAAAAGACACCAAGGGGACAAAAAAGAACTGTTAGTCCAAGGGAGTCTGTTGTTAAATACAGAGAAATCCAAGTCTGAAGTCCAACAGAGGCCAAGGTTTCTGGGCTTTGACACAGCTGACAAGCTAGAGCACAGTGAGAAAATACACACACAGAAATAGCCAGGCAGGATAAAGGATTTACTGCTCCTTTCACAGAAAACAAAAGAATAGGCTTAAACACTCCATTTAGGAGTGGTAAAAAAAAAGAATATAAGAAAAGAAAGATAAAAACCAGATCTGCAGGAAGAATATTTGAGTACAGGATTACCAGGAGGTGAAGGAAAACCAGATCCTGCCTGTCCTGGGTGCAGCAGGGCAGCAGCATCCCCAGGGACTCTCTCCCAGGCCCAGCAGCAGTGTGTGTGTGCAATGAGCACACACACAAAATGCCCGGTGTCACCTCAGAGCCAGTCAGTTCCCTCTTGCCCCGGGTCAGAGCATCCCACCACAGCCCACATTCTGGCACAGCCAGCTGTCATGCCAACCTCTGCACAGTCTCGCCTCTGGAGCGTTTCTCCTGTGCTGGTTCTGGCTGTAGGATTGCCCTCTTCACTCCAATCCCTCTCCAGGGTCCACTTCCCCATGGCCAGCCACCCCAGCTAATGAGGCTGGTGCTCCCTGCCTTTCAGACAGGCTTTTCCATGACAGGAAGGCTCCAGGCTCTTGGCTGCCCTCCCTTTCATAAGGAAGTTATCCCAGAACACCTCTTGGGACCTCAGCTGTGGAGGCCTGATGGAAAGAGAGCTAGGGCTGGCAGGGGCTTTGGAAACAGCTTCCTGCCATCATCTCTCCAGGTGTGTCCTCACTGAAGAGGAAAGTTTTCAGTTCTCTCTAAGTTTCTTCTAACTTGTGATGAAAGAGAAACTCTTTGGAGAAAAGACAGGAACCCAGTTTCCCTGATGAAAGTACCACAGTGGGATTTTTTTTGGTTTCTTTTCTTTTTAGTAGCATCAGCAGAACAGAGCTTCGCAACCAGGCAGGCAGAAGGTCTTACCCTTTCCATGGCAGGAGACCAAGTCTCCCAGCTGGAGACCAGGACAGAAACCACCCCTGGTCCTGCTGGGAAGTGAATTAAAAGCCAAAGCCATCAATTCTGGCCTGAAACAGCATGAGATTCACAAACCCACTCACTCCATCAGCCTGGAATTGCTCATGCCAGAGCAACTCAGACTGTCTGTGTGGAACTCCCAGGAGCCCAGGGGCTACTGGTGGGTCATTTAGTCCACTCCCCTTTTGGAAACTGGGATTTACTGTGCCTAAAGCACACCCAACGGCTACGGTCAAGTCTGGGCTCCAACATCTCTGGCAAAGCCAATTCTACAACCTTCCTTGGCAGCTTACAAGCTGCTTAATTGTCCTGATAGCTATGCATTGAGAGTTTTTTTGTAAAAAGCAGCTGATTTCTCAGCAGCAACAAATACTTGGGAAAGCTTTCTGTCTGGCAAACTCTCTCTATTGTTCATCTCTTTCACATAAAATGTTCCTAATGAAGAGGAAAAGCAGGATCTTGGCTTCTTTCAAAACAATCTGAAATATTATATTAAAAACATGCACTGAGTGTTGACATATTTAGTGCATTGCTTTATAAAGCAAATTGCCCAAGCTCATTCAGAGCTTGACACCATTCAGACAACACAGAACTACATGACTGGGAGGATACCACTGCAAGAAGTACTACTCTGGGGAGCTGTGGAGCACCTTGGAGCAGCCAGACAGTCTTGACTCCATCCTAGTGAGAAGTGGAAGCCACCAGCATCA